CAGGGGGCAGGAGCTCTGAATTTGAGGGCCCAAGATTGATTACCTGGACTTCTGAATTCCTTAATCATATCATAGACTGTATGCTCCTCCTCTCCTGGACCGCTGCTGCTAGTAGGTAGCCCCCAAGAGGGAATGATTTGCTTGAAGCCTCAAAACTTATTAAGCCTCCACAAACACTGAAGACTGCAGTGCTGCCTGGCTGAGGGGGTTGTGTGTGTGTGTGTGCGTGTGTGTGTGTGCATGTGTGTGTGTGTAGAGGGTGTCATTGCGTAGTACAAGAGGAAGTTACGATACTGGCATGGTTGGGGGATGTGGGCTTGTCTGTGCTGAGGCTGAAGAGATGCCCAATAATATATTTGCCTTTCTTCCTCAGGAAGGCTTATTTCTCCTATCTAAAGGTGAAAAGTGAGATTCAGACTCAGGTATTTTCAGAAACTTCCCAGTGACAGGTGGGGAGAGGATGGGGGTGGGAAGTTGGAGACCTGGAGGCCAAACAAGAACCCTTCTCCACCCGTGCGGCACTGTGGAGGTTCCGAAAAGCACTTCCCTCAGAGTCGGGTCCCAGGAACCAGGCTTCACCATCCCTCCGAATGAGCTGGAGGGATGGAGGGAAGGCCTGGGAGACGTTACCCCCCCGGGTTCTGGCCCAGCCCTCCCGCTGCACCCCCGCGTCCCAGCGCAGACCCTTCTCGATACCAGCTCCAGCTGTCACGCTTCCTCCTTCCCGACCCAGCACCACGAACGCAGCCCGTGGGTCCTGGCCTTCCCTACCCCTGTCCTGTTCCAATGGGGGAGGGCGGGGCGCTGGGGGGCTCGCGGGGTCTCTACCTTGCTTGGGAGGGCTCGCGGTCGTAGCTGAAGCGCCGGCGCTGGAGCTGGAGCCCGAGCTGGGCTGGAGGGGACGGGCCAGGCAGACGCGGCCGCAGCGGGGCCGCCCCGCTCCTGACGACACAGCTGCCCGCCCCCCAACCCAGCCTGCCCGCCGCGCCCGCACCCGGCGCCCCCAACTCTGGGAACTTCGAAGTTGGAGAGGCCCGTTTGTAGGTTTCCAGTTCACCATAACCTGCTCCTCCCTCCCTTGAATATGTCCCGGGCTTTGGACACATTTTCTCCATTTGCTGCGCTCCTCATCTTCTTCCCGCGCCGGCGGCAGCTCTGCTTCTATTTTCTCTTTCTAATCACTCACAGCCTCTCCCTTCACCCCAAACCTGGGAGGCCAAGATACCGGGCGGGCCGCTAGCAGAACAGCTCCGCAGCTGGGCACCCAACCAACTAGTCTCACTCTCTTCTGATTGCTGCCATCCTGAACTTCCCTGTCCAACTCCCTTCCATCCACCACTGACTTCACACTCAGGAGATCCCACGGGGGCAAGGCCAGAGTCCCAGACTCCACAACCTGACCAAACACCTCCCTCCTGTCCCGGGCTCCACCCTGCTTGAGACAATCTGCCCACCTTCTCCACGTTCCTCTCCTCCCTTTTAGACTTATTTTCTCCAGTCTAAGAACACCTCCTGTCAAGACTCATGTCCTCTCCTTAATTCTAGGGTGGAGGTTTGCACTCTGGTCTGTATCCACCCTTTCTCCACACCCTCATCCTCCCACTTTACCTGCTGGCCTTGGCAGGTAGCACAGAAGGCCCTGGCCAAAAGTAGGGAGTCAAAGGTCCTGTCAGCTTCTCCTGCCTGGAGTCTCTTCTAGAGTCATTAAGGCTCTTGGGGTCGCATGGCTGGTGGTGAAGGTGGTACAGCAAGGGAGAGAGATGGAGGCCTAGGGACTTACTGGCAGGAACTGGAGACCCAGGCATCCTGCTTACTGGCCCCGCCCTAACCCCTGTCTAACTCCCTCCTACCTTTCATTGAAAATGGGGCAGAGTAACAAAGCCTTAAGTTCCTGGAATCTCCTTCTTACACCTGGGGGTGGGAAGAAGGGGGAGGGGAGACCTCTGACTAGGAGGGTATATGCATGTGTGGGTATTGTGGATGCATACATACACACAGCTAATATATACATATTTTTGGTGGAAGTTGGAGAGGAAAGGGAATTAATACATGAGGCCCTCTAGTGGAAACAGGGGTATCTAAGCAGTTCTTGATTGTTTCAAGACAGGCTTGTTGGAACAGACTCCTCCACATTTGCCAGAAATATAGCTGCTGAGTAATAGGGTTTGGGAGTATTGTTGTTGTATCTAAACTGGAGATTTCTGGCATAGGTTGAAGAGGGTCTCTTGCTCCTGTGTCCCTCCAGGTCTCACCCTCTCACCCCCAATCATAAAAAGACAAGGGCCAAAAGCCGGACGCAGTGGCTCACACCTGTAATCCCAGCACTTTGGGAGGCTGAGGCAGGTGGATCATGAGGTCAGGAGATCAAGACAATCCTGGCTAACACGGTGAAAACCTCTCTCTGCTAAACATACAAAAAATTAGCCGGGCGTGGCGGCAGGTGCCTGTAGTCCCAGCTACTTGGGAGGCTGAGGCAGGAGAATCACTTCAACCTGGGAGGTGGTGAGCTGAGATCATGCCACTGCACTCCAGTCTGGGCAACACGAGCGAAACTCTGTCTCAAAAAAAAAAAAAAAAAAAAAGAAGACAAGGCCCTTGACACTCCCCATCCTTTGTCTTTACAGTATTCTCTTCACTGTTAGCAAAGCTTCATCTCTCCTTCCTCTATGACCTCCTTAGTCATAGTAAACAAACTTTTCTGAAGGCCTTTTATACACCAAGTCCTGTACTTAGTTCTGCAATACAAGCAAAAATATAGTCCCGTTTAGGGACTATACCAATGAGTGGTGCAATGTGTGTAAAGCCTCTCCACTCTGAGCTACTTTAAACAAACATACAATATAAGAATAGGTCCCCTAACACCTCTGCCTATCAGTTTTCTGTCCCTGGATCTTTCATTTAGAAATCTTGGAACGATATTAATCTCTAAGGCACTCAGCTTGCCTTGCAAATAATGCGTAAAGTAATGCCACCCTACGTATTACCTGTGTTTCTCACTCTATCGTCTTTAGATATGTTCCTAAATAAAGTTGAAGACACTCCTTTTAAGATAGTTTTTGGTACTTCAAAGTGGGGTGTAATGCTATCTCTCTCGAATAAGGAATAAGGTGGAATCAGTCTTACTCTAGACTTCTTTGTGTCTTCTTTAGGATCTGTGTTCCATCATACCCCAAGTCAGTTACTGGGGGGTGTGGGTGGGGGAAGAAAAGCCAAGAAACATCTAAGGAGGCGTTTAATGCCTACAGTTCCAGGTGCTCATTTCTTTAATCAACCACATCATAAAAATCAGAAAGAAAGAAACCGCAATGAACAAAGGGAAAGGAAAAAACAACAGCCTGTTCTCCCCGGCCTTTTTTGCCCCGTTCCTCCTCAGGGTGGGGGGCCACATCCGGGGCCCAGGGTTGGGTCCCAGGCAGGTCTACTAAGCAGACAATTGAGTTTCACTTCCTGTCAACCCCAGTGCTGAGGCAGGATGTCTGGGGGTGGGAAGGGGGCCTAGGGTTGGTAGTGAACAGGGGCCACTTTAGGTTTCCCTCCTGCAGAAAGGTTTATTGAGCAGCCTCTGGAAGCTGCAGAGACCACTCCTAAGGTAGTTCAGTCAAGACCAACGTATCCCATTAGTTTGTAGACGCTTCTTCCCACACTCTCTCGTCTAATGGTCTAATCGTAACAAGGTTAAGGACAAGATGTTAGACCCTGCAGGGTCTGAAGCACAATTGGTGAAAGGAGAGCAAGGGTTTAAGACCACAGTGTCAGAACACTTGCAATAACTGTGTATTGTATGCAAATACTTTTTATTTACTTATTTTGAGACTGAGTCTTGCTCTATCATACAGGCTGGAGTGCAGTGGCATGATCTTGGCTCACTGCAACCTCCGCCTCCCGGGTTCAAGTGATTCTCCTGCCTCAGCCTCCCAAGAAGCTGGGATTACAGGTACGCACCACTACACCCAGCTAATTTTTGTATTTTTAGTAGAGACGGGGTTTCACCATCTTGGCCATGGCTGGTCTCGAACTCCTGACCTCCAGTGATCCGCCCACCTCGGCCTCCCAAAGTGCTGGGATTACAGGCATGAGCCACCGCGCCCCGCCTGGAAATACTTTTTAAATGAGCTCCCGCTCCCCACCCCCAGACATTCTGAATTGGCCTCTAGTGGAAGTCAAGGAGATGGAGGACGGGAAGGAAGGCAAGCTGCAGCCCCCAGAAAACTTCTGAGGCCTAATTTGTCTTATAAAGGTCCTAGACGGAGTCTCACTCTGTCCTCCAGGCTGGAGTGCAGTGGCGTGATCTCGGCTCACTGCAACCTCCGCCTCCTGGGTTCAAGAAATTCTCTGCCTCAGCCTTCCGAGTAGCTGAGATTACAGGCGCCCGCCACCATGCCCGGCTAATTTTTTTGTATTTTTGGTAGAGACGGGGGTTCACCGTCTTGGCCAGGTTGGTCTTGAACTCCTGACCTCGTGATCCACCCGCCTTGGCCTCCCAAAGTGCTGGGATTACAGGCCTGAGCCACCGCGCCCGGCTTTAGTTTAGTTTTTTAAATGGGACATGCTGCCTAGTGTAAGAGGTAATCACCAATATTTACCTCCTCCCTCCTTCCTGGTTCCAGGGGTACTGCTGGATATTAAACTAAGCCAAAGTGGGGACATACGGAGGAAGGTAAAAGGATTGATAAGGAAAAAGCTATATAAGGGTGGAGCAGGGCAGAGTTGACACCTGAGGAGAAGAACCTGCAGTCGGGCCCCTCCCAGGCTGTAGGGGAAACAAGTTTAACAGAACTTAGCCCTGAAGGAACAACAGTTGCTGAAATGGGCGGCGGAGGAAAGAGCATTTGGGTTCGTCTGAATAGGGAGGTACGGGGCAGGGGAGGACTACAAATGGAGTGACCCTGCGGGACCGGATTATTGATGAGCTGCCCCGCTTTAGATCCTCAGCGGTTGGACGAGTTTAATTAGAATACTAAGTAGGTCCGCCCAGAAGCCTTTACCCTGCCCTCTGACCCTAGGGCCCAATCCAAGGGTTAGGAGGTCTGGGAGAGAAGCAAGTAGGGCCCTCATCACTTCGCCGCCGAATCTCCGGCGCCGCCCAGCGGGGCAGAGCCAGGCCAGGGCCGCCCGCCCAACCTGGCCAGCTGCCTCTTCAGCCATGGAAGCTGCCGGCAACCCTGCGCCTACGGAGACAGGTGACCGACCCGTGGCGCTCTCCGCCTTGCACGCCCCTCCCGCGGGTCTCTGGAGGTTGAGTGGGGCGGCCGACAGCAATCGGCACGCGAATTCGACCTCCCCACCTTCTTAGAGAGGGTTACATGGGGTCTTCCAACCGTCCCCAGAAACACTTGTGCGCCCCAGTGCGTTCCTGGAGTTTGTCTGCTCCACGTCACCAAGCTGCTCTCAGGTCTGGGTGCCGGCCAAAGCCTGGATAGTCTTCCTTTCTTCATTTATAAGGCCCCCTTTTTGGGTGCAGGTGGGCCCTGCGCCCTTTTCCCTCGCAGGTCGTGGACATACGAGGAGTTCCTGGGATGAGAGGGACTGTGCCTCGGAACTTCTCTTGGCTCCCCGAGGACTGTTTTACAGGCAGCAAGCGCTCAATAATGGTATCGGTGGCAGTAAAAGAGCCCACGGCTTTATTTTATTAACTATTTCAGCTTCTCCCCTCTTCCTCCTCCTCCACCTCCGCCCATGAAATGGTGCACTCTCCCTTTAAGACTAAGATGGTGGCTTGCTACGATCGGGACTCCACTTCCGGTGGGGAGGGGGGCGGGACCCCAGCCCGCTCACGCCGGAAGTGGTTTGCGTTTTCAAGATGGCGACTCCCTATGTTACTGACGAGACCGGCGGTGAGTGCGGGAGGCGCGGAGCCGCTTCTCCCCGGGCTCTCGGGGCAGGGGTTCGGACTTGGAAAGGGGTCTGTGCCCCGCCCATCCCGGGGCCCCTCCTTTGCCCCGCCCCCCGGACCGCCTTCCCCATTCATTCTCTCCTGCGGGGTGTCTCCTGCGCCCCCTTCTGGTCTCGTGTTTGGGGGTCTCTGCTTCCGGTCACCCAAACCCTGGGGTCCTTCAGTGCTGGTCCCTGCTTCAGGACCCTCACGGGCCCTTAGCTTTTCTCCAGCAGTTGGAGCACTCATATCTCTTATAGGTTCTTCAGCCTTGGGGACTCCTACACTCTCAGTTCCCTCCAATTCCTGTCCTCCTCCTTTTCCCCTCCCCCATCTCAGCTATACTTGCTTTCTGCCCTACCTCAGTCCCATTTTCATTATTTTTCTCGAAGCGGTATTTGCTGAAGACCTTCTCGTTTCTACATAATACTTTTTCCTCTCCCTTATCTTCATCTGTTGGGTCACTGAGGTTTAGAGGTGTGAAGGGAAGAGGACCCTAATATAACTTTCAGCTTGAGTTTTCTCCCTGATGGAGCCACCCTTCGCTGTCTTATCCTGTGATGGTGATAGAAATTGAGGGGTCTAAGGTGGGAAAAGGCAAACAGGAAAGTGTCTAGTGGCTTTTCTCCGAAGCCCTTTGACAAGTGAATAAAACCCACTCTTCCTTCTGGCTAAAGAATTTCCAGCCTGGCTGGTCGAGATGCTGAAGTGTCTGCTGTGTATGTGAGGTGTATGTGTTGGAAACGGAGAATCACAGCTTTTATCTTGGTTTTGTCCCTTCCTAATGGCCTCATCTTTAGAAAAATATGCCTAGTAGTAATAGCTACTCAATGATGATCAAATAATATATGTGAAAGCAATTTACAAAATGCTGTGCAAGTGCAAAGTGTTTCTGTTTTTGTAGCCCTCATATGTGTAGTCTGTAGAAGCAACACTGTGCCTGTGCCTTGGTACACACAGTCTGTTTTAAAATGTGCCATTTTGCTTCTTGCTCTGCTGCTTTCCATGTTCCTTACACCTCTTCCCCCTGTCTTATGGTACCTGATGACAACCCAGGTTGCTGCTACTTCTCCCCAACCTCAGAATTTAAAAGTGGTACTACCTCTTTCCTTCTGTACTCTACCCAGTAGCTCCTTCATGAATTACCAATTTTTAATATGTGCTTTGAAAATACTACTTATCCAGTATATTTCTCTTTACTCTTAATCATTTTCTTTACCCTGACTCCGTGAAAATCCAGGTATCACATCTCACCCTACCTTGCCACTAAAAGCTGTTTTCTGTTTTTAGTGACTATGTGGAAGAGAAGAAGGAATAAACTGCTTTTTTGTTTTCCTTTACTATGTCCAGATCATTGATCTACCACTGTCACTAATCCTCATGGAAGGTATTGCCATGCAATTATAGCAGTTTCTGTAAAACTTTAGTGTCATCATTTACTGCCCACAAGGACCCAGACCTATTGCATATTTTTTTCTCTCCTCTTTTTCTTGCTGTCATTTTCAGTGTCTCCAGCACCATTGGAATACTCTGATCTCATAGTTCCTCAGCATGAGACGGTCGACTTTGCTTTGTATTTTCAAACCAGTTGCACATCAGAATCACTACAACCTGGATCTCATCTAGGACACCGCTTTTTCTTCAGGTGCTCCGCATCACTTTAGCCTCCTTATCAGTCACTTATTTCACTATCTTAAACCCTCAGGATCAGCTTTGTGTCCTCAGGTTCTCTGGTTCTTGACCTTTCCATTTCATTGAATCTGTCAGTACCTTATGGCCTTTGGTGCTGCCCAGCTAGACCTCTGTGACCAGCCCCTTTGATAATATCCTCTTGCTTTCTTTATTCATTTTGATTTTCTATACTAAGCAGGCACTTCTGTTATCTCTAATGATGGCTATGATTAGAGATGTTTTCTTGGCTTCTGCTTCTAGGCCACAGCATGTTGCTAGAGAAAAAGTACAGAAGCTATCAGATTCAATATAACTTAATATAACTTCTGCCAAGATCATGGCTTCTAATCATTCTTTTCTTTTTAAAACAATTTTTTGCTAGGCGCAGTGGCTCACGCCTATAATCCCAGCACTTTGGGAGGCTGAGGTGGGTGGATCAACTGAGGTCAGGAGTTTAAAACCGGCCTGACCAGTATGGTGAAACCCCATCTCTACTATAACTACTAAAATTAGCTGGGTGTGGTGGCGTGGTGGTGTGGGCCTGTCATCTTAGTTACTCGGGAGGTTGAGACAGGACAATCGCTTGAACCCAGGAGGCAGAGATTGCAGTGAGCTGAGATCGCGCCACTGCACTCCACTCTGGGCGATAGAGCGAGACTCTGTCTCAAAAATAAATCAATAAATAAAAATTTAAATTTATTTTTTATGTTCTTCCATAGCTGTTTTCCCCAAACTTTTCCAGCTCTGTGTGACCATCCCTTTTAATTCTCCTTCTTTTGGCAGATGACTTCATTTTTATTTTACTGAAAAATCAAGGCCTATCATTTTTGTTTCCTTTTTCTTCATAGCAAGATTTTGTTTGTTTCTTTCTTTTTTTAAAATGTAGGGATGCAGACTTGCTATGTTGCCCAGGCTGGTTTTGAACTCCTGGCCTCAAGTGATCTTCCCACCTCAGTCTGCCAAAATGTTGGGATTACAGGTGTGAGCCTGCACCTCTCCCCAGATTTCTTGAATGTGAAGAAATTTACTCCTGATATTTCTGTTTCCTTGTTGCCTATTTGTTTCTTAACTCTTTGCAGCCATTATTTCTAGCACTACCCTCTCTCGAGTTGCCTATCCCTTTTTCTAATTGTTTGGTGAATATCTTCGCTCTTGGATGTACTGTTATACCTGAAATCCAACCTGACCAAAACCAGTATCACAGTATCAGTTTTTCCATCACTTTCTGTTAAAGGCACCATTGTTCTAGCCAACCCAAGATAAACTTTTGTGTTGTTTCTTTTTTTTTTTTTGAGACGGAGTCTCACTCTGTCTCCCAGTAGTGTGATCTCGGCTCACTGCAACCTCTGCCTCCCTGGTTCAAGCGATTCTTCTGCCTCAGCCTCCTGAGTAGCTGGGATTACAGGCGCGCATCACCACGCCTGACTAATTTTTGTATTTTTAGTAGAGATGGAGTTTCATCATGTTGGTCAGGCTGGTCTCGAACTCCTGACCTCGTGATCCACCCGCCTCGGCCTCCCAAAGTGCTGGGGTTACAGGTGTGAGCCACTGCGCCCGACTGTTTCTTTTTTTAATATTCTAACTATACTTGATTTTTTAGAACACTTTTAGATTTATAGAAAAATTGAGAAGATGCTACAGAGATTTCCCATATACTCTATACTCGGTTTCCCCTATTACTGTCATCTTACATTAATATGGTACTTTGCTTTTAATTAATGAAGCAATATTGATATATTATTATTAACTAGAATCCATACATCATTTCATTAGTTTTTTTTCAGACAGGGTCTGCTCTGTCACCCAGGCTGGGGTGCAGTGGTGCAGTCACCATTTACTGTAGTCTTAACTTCTGGACTCAAGTGATCCTCCCACCTCAAACTACTGAGTAGCTGGGACTACAGGTACACACCACCACTCCTGACTCATTTTTGTATTTTTTGTAGAGGTACAGTCTTGCTCTGTTGCCCAGTCTGATCTCAAATTCCTGGGCTCAAGTGATCCTCACGCCCTGGCCTCCCAAAGTGCTGGGATTACAGGTGTGAACCATCACACCTGGCTGATTTCCTTAGTTTTTACTTAATTTATTATTTATTTATTTATTTATTTATTTATTTATTATTTTTTTGAGACAGAGCTTTGCTCTTGTTGCCCAGGCTGGAGTGAAATGGCGAGATTTCGGCTCACCGTAACCTCCACCTCCCGGGTTCAAGTGATTCTCTTGCCTTAGCCTCCCAGGTAGCTGGGATTACAGGCATGCGCCGCCCTGCCCAGCTAATTTTGTATTTTTAGTAGAGACGGGGTTTCTCCATGTTGGTCAGGCTGGTCTCGAATTCCAGACCTCAGGTAATCTGCCCACCTCAGCCTCCCAAAGTGCTGGGATTACAGGTGTGAGCCACCATGCCTGGCCTTTATACCTAATTTTTTTGTTGTTGTTCCAGGATCTTATCCAGGGTACTACATAATATTTAGTTCTCATGTTTCTCTAAGCTCCTCTTGGCTGTGACATTTTCTCAGGCTTTCCTTGTTTTCGATGACCTTGAGTTTTGAGGAGTACTGGTCAGGTATTTTGTAGGATGTCCTTCTATTGGAATTTGTCTGATGTCTTTCTCATGATTAGATGTGGGGTATATGTTT